AATTGAGAGATTTCTTGCAGCTTGTGCATATGCATGTTTGCAAAAAAAGTGGAGGAGTGGTATTACTAATTAGTAATACAATTCCAAGAGATGGCTATGATTACTCAGGTATTATTTGCTATTCACCTTTTGCGCCAATGACAGAAGATCGAATTTGATGGTCATCGAATAAATTGATCGCTGCTTTAATATTAGATGCTTTAATATTGAGTGAAGATCACAAATAACGAAATTGTTATTAGTCAAATAACCTTCGAACTGGTCAGAACGTTTCTATATACTTTTGTATGATTTTAAACTTTTTATTTGCGAGAATTCCAATTTTAAACTTATAATTGACGGTTAGTAGTTGGTGACTAGTGATTTAAATATATTTTTAGTAGTTGTTTAATATGAATAACTTGTGTATTAGATCAATGTTGCGAAAAATCTATTGCTTTTTTATCCAAATCATTTCATTTATAGTCTAATGATTATTCGTATTAGCGTCGTCCCTAGGGATGGCATCTTTTCAATATTTATTCCGCATGGGCTGTAATCACAAATAAATTAATAAGAAACGAAGCACCGTCTTTGTGATTTGATATCTAAGACGGTAATAAATATAGGAAATATTATTTCAACAATTTCTTTTTTATTACATTTAATGGAGCAAGGTGATAAACAAATATTAAAAATTATTTGTTTATTACCTTGCTTCTTATTCAGGAATTATATTTTAGATACATGCGGTAACAATATTCTGGCCGTCTATAACTACAGCTATGTATGGACAGGTAACTTTTGTCTCGTGTCACGGTGCTTGAGAATCCTTGTGGTGACGCGCGCACTTGAACACGTGACAATAAGATCCCACCAAATAATATCATGTAAAGTGTTGTCAAGACGAGAAATCATATTATGCAACTTTTTTATGTATTAAATAGATGAGTGGATAGTCCCAATATCATCAGAGAATGTCCCATACATACAATAATGAGAGTCCAATTGTATGTTAAGAGCAGTCCATTAATATATAGGGAATGAGTGTTTGTAGTAGGTATCGTAGACTGGATGAATGGACTGGATGAACCTACCATTGGTATTGTATTCATTTCTTAGTGAATGTGGGTTCTAGACTAATTGAGTACCGTTAAAAAAATAATAATAAGGAGAACAACCTTATCATTCCAATAAGGTTGGCACGTTTATTAAAATAAAAATATACCTATTCTAGATTGAAAAGCATGATTCATTGTTCGTAATATATATTGTACAATTCATTTAAATGACGCACCAATGGTCTGTTCACTAGTTTACTGAGATCTTTGGCGAAAACAAAGTCTAGATGGTTAAATTTGGGCCAATTACAGCCTGGTTTGATGGAATGGAAGACACCTGTTTCGTTGAGGCTCTTTGCTAATCTGAGTATACCCTGAAAGATCAAATTAGGTCAAATGAATAGATCAAAAAAAGTTGCTCGCACCGTCAAAATGTTTTCAGATTATAGTAAAAATATACGGCTTGTCTTAAGATATAGTGAAGCTTATTACAATAATATTTATTGTAAACGGCAAAGCTAAAAGATTTGATAGCTTTTTGAGTTTGAGTCTTACTAATTAATTAAACAAAGTTTGCAAAGTTTCGCAGCACGGAAAGAGATATGTGTTCGTGGAATGGAGGAAATGACGAGGAGCTGGTGATATTTACCACTGCATTTTTAGACAATGGTCATGAGGACTGAGTTTATGTAAGGTTAAATATACAGTTTCTTCTGTATTCAAACCTCACCTATTTGAATATTATAATCAAATCATCAATCACTGAAATAAATTACAATAAATAATTGAAACTGGAAGAAATATTGTAATATTTGACAGAAGAAAATCGAGGTTCGCCCTGTACATTAAGTTTCAACCGCATTAAAGGGTTTTAGAAGAAAAATTAAAAAAAAGATTAAGTATTGAGGGAATAAAATATAGCTAAGAAGAATTTTAGGCAATTCCTGCATATTTCTAGGAGATATTTATATTAACAGGTTATATTCATTACTAACGGAATATTTGATGAACCGCTGTGTAATTATAACTGAAGCGTCGCGGTGTCAGTATAAAAAAATATTAAGAGTCCATCTGAAATACAGTGAACAGCACGTTATTATTTATTTAATACTAGCCTTTCCATCCCTACTAATTTTTGGGATAAAAAGTAGCCAATGTATTAATTCAGGCTTAGAATTATCCGTATACTAAATTTAATTAAATCAGTTTGGTACCTCACCAACTCTCGCATTTATACTGTAAATAGGATTTCGCTCATGGTGAACTTGATTTTAAATCTAAATGCATTGATACTCGTAATAGAATTTTCAATTACCAGTATTGGATATATTATGGTAATCTAAAATTCACCTGTATATGGAGTATAAATACATATAAAAATTAGTTAAGAACACTAGAAAATAACTGTTAAACAGTGTTATATGTTATATTACTTCAACCTTTGTGTCTAAATCATTTACTACTTTTATATGATTAAAAGAAGGAACATTAATAATTTATAATATATGTAAGAAATTTAAATCCTCGCTGTTAAATAATTAAATATAGTTTGGTTTGCTGGCTGAAATCCATTCGAGTTATAATTGTGGTTCTTTTGTTTATAGTTAACAATGGTGTGTCTGTGAAGTCTACAGAAAATCCACGTGCATTCATAATGAGTAGTTAATGAGTTGAGGGAGGGAAATTGGGTCATAGCAATAATGAATTAAATCTAGATTGACGATAGACAAAGGATAACTTCTAGATTTACATAGAAAATTGTTTGTTGGAACTTACTCTAAAAAAATTGGTCGGTGATTTCAAAATGTGCGAAAATCTATTTATTCTGTTTTAGGTGGGTTGCCTGAAAATTAATGTAAATACGCTCACTATAGTAGCGACAGTAACAAGTGTTTGAAAAATTGGTCAGTCGTTTAGGATCTTGGGTAGCTTTTAGGGCAGTGCCCTAAAGGCTGGTCAGTCCTTTAGGGCAATGGTTACAACTCAAAATGGTCGCCCGGATTGCGAACAGTTGTGGATTCGAGTCTTATGTCGCAGTGCCTGGGGCTGGTGAGTGAAAACAAAAAGAAGAAGAAATCAAAACCTCGAAGTTTTTTGAGATCGGTCTCCGCTTGTAATAGCCTAGACTGAATAAAACGATATTAAAAATTTAATTTAAAGGAGAATGGGCAAATGTGGTTTCGCTTTGTGACGATATTAAACCTCTTTTAAAAATAAGTTTTTAATTTTACCTAAATACCTTAAAATATGCAGCCCTAACTTCGACGGAGTATAATGTGTTTAAAATAAAGGAAGGTAACTGATTTTACTACTTCTCTAAAATATCCACCATTTTTATGGTTTACTGTTGCCAGTATTCAAAATCCTCTTCAATTATATAAATCGATATTGTATTTGAATAGGCAAGAGCCCTGAAACATGAAAGACGAAAAAACATTTAAAATGATGAAACAACTGGATGAAACCTTATGAGCGGAATCGATTAATCGAGTTTCAGTGCTGCCAAAACAAAACATATTAATATAATTTTATGTGGCTGAAGAGGGTATGCATTGTTTGCAAGGTCTCATCAAGTACCAATGTATTATGACATTTTTACAGTTGTCGCATTTTAAATCCCCCAACATGTTTATTCGTAATTAATAACCTATGCTCTATGTCAGTTAATAGTATATTGTTGAGTAAAAATAATTACATTGTTCATTATGAAGAACATAAATAAATAATTAGTTTTAATGATTTAATCGAATCAAGTCGATTAAAAATAGTCGATTTATAACATTTTTAGAATGGCAATAATGACATGCATGACCTGCTAAATGAAAGGCATACATTGACACAATTGACAGCTGTCACTACAGTATTGCCTTTCGTTCTGTTAAGTCCGTTTGTTGAATGCTTTAGTGATTTTCTTCTTTCTTTAAGTTTTACGTCGAGTGAATTTCGAGTTGCTCCGTAACTATAGAAACTGAACATATTCGAGACAGAGATTCTTTTTTCGTGTGTGAATTGTATTTGTACCAATAACATTAACATTACTATTACTTGAACTTCAGCAGCTTATTTCTCATGAATCCGTCGAATTAGAGTAATTATTTTATTTGTAATTGAATCTAAGGCCAAAACCCTACAAAATGATGTAGGTTTCATCATGGCACAAAAAAAAAAAAATTTGAAACGAAACTCTATACATCATTGCCCATTCTCCTTTAAGATGATTATCAATTTAAAAGGCTTTTATTTATTTACACATAAATATTATAATAATTATTTGATTCACATACTTATTAAACGTATGTAAGATCATTCCGTGTATGAAAATAATTAAAAACAAATTGTATTTCAACTAATTATTTTCATGAAAAATTATATGTTGTATATTATCTTAATACTGAAAATTCTGAGACTGTTATCTCTGCTATTAATAAAATTATTTTTATATTACATATAGCTTTATTATACGTATACTTTCTTTAAGCTACCTTCAATTAACAAGCGTTCAAATACCTTAATTGTTCTATTATATTCCGGGTTTTGTTTTAATTTTATCTTAAAGTTATTCGCATTAATTTATCTAGCTGTTCTTCTTCTTCAACTTGGGAACAATACAATTGTTAATTCCATCATGCTAGACTGACGGTTTTAATTGTTATGACAATTAAAAATTATTTATTTTAACTCTTTCTTCTGTGTTAGATTTATTATGCGAACAAATAAAAATATTGAAAGGACAATAAAATTCAATTTACAAAGTAAAATAAAAGTAGCGCAAACAAGAAAGTTGAGCTGTCTAAAATTACCAAATCAGAACAACTTTGTTATGTTAATTGTCCAACTTAACAAACATTATCCAAGTTCACGGTTTGAAACGGAGGACAGTTTCTGAAAAGTGAGAATTGAAACTAACACGCTTACGTAAATAGCAAATCTTTATTTCGTTCAAAATTAGTTAAGCAAACGTATAAAAGGTGCCTTAATTTGGCGTTTCTAGGTAGCGCATCATTTTATTCACACGTGAAATTCTCGATGAAAAGAGTAATTCGTTTAAATCTAAATTGCATCTATTTGTCGGAGCTCGGTCGCTTCAGGGGGCTGGGTCTGTGTGGAAAACTTAAAGTAGTTGCACGTACGCCGCGGATTGAAACTGAGGTACCGCTGTATACACGAAAAGGGGAGCACGATCCTCGTTCCGGTATTGGAGACGTGCCGTGTACGCCATGTTTCGGATATCGTTTTCAGTCTGAAACTGTACTCTTTGCAATTGCGAGCCAGGCAAGAGTACGTAGTATGCTCCTTCAGCGCTTAAAACCTCAGCTTCCTTTTTAGGTTCTTCTTCTAATTTTGCTTTCTTCTCCTTGCCTTCGTTGGTTTCTTTACTATTCTTAGATTCCTTGGCTTCCTTGCTTTCTTTGAGTTTCTCAACTTCACTTCCCTCGTGTTTTTCCACTTTCTCTTTGGCTTTGTGCTCTTCACTTTGCTTTTTCTCTGGGACACCGTATTCTACTTGGGGAGCTGCATAAGTTTTGAATGGAGCACCATAGCTGTCATCAGGAGTTCCATAAGAGGTAGAGGGGGGACTGACCTCGTGACGTGCTGGCAGATTGAATTCTCTGGTTGGTTTAAATCCAGCTGCAGCGTAAGGAGCTTCTCCACCAGCTGATTTTTGTCCCTCCTCGCCATCTCCGCTGAGCTCCTGTCTTTCAGACCTGAACCTTGCGATTCTGTAGCGAGGAGGCTCAGCTGATACAACAGCTGCTAGGAGGAGAATACAAGCGAAAGTCTTCATTATTGTTCGTTGTTGTCACTTCGACCGATTGAAGACGAATGATGCTGTGTATTGCCCATGGTGCGCTTTTATACATAATCCAGATACATGTCAGTTTTTCTTAGACATTTCCGTTTATGACCGGATGTGTCACCTCTCCTTCGGAATCGATATTCCGGTCGAGTGGACCACGACATTGGCCCCTTAACGCGAGGATCATCGATTGTGTAATCGATGCCGATTAGGAGCCGTCATTGTTCCGAACGCGTGCGTGACCGGAATGCAAGTAGCACCACGGTGACGAACTTACGAAAACTCCTAATGGGATGTTTTAATATTCATGACTTTTTGGTGAAATCGCTTTCTTTCACCGTCACTAATTAGACTCTAGTGTCTAGTATTGGCGACATTTAGTTCATTGTGAGTATAATAGACTAGAGTTTGTATAATCACGACTCCAATGCACTGCATTCGCAATGTACAGGTGTGCATAAAATTAAAATTGTTACCGATGCTTGTAGACTGGTGATGCATTATGTATTTATATAAATATCCTTGCAACTCTATTCTGGCATTGAGTAACCAAATTTGACTGTTGCCGTCAATGCTATTATTTGAAATTTGGCATAATTAGCATACGATTACTGCTTTAAAATATTCCTCATATTATGTTAGTAACTGTTTATTTACTGAGCGTAATTTACAAATCATACAAATTACTCAGATTCCAAGATGACTAGGTAATGCACTCGTATTGTAAAGTATCTGAAACAACCAAGAGACCACAACTCATAAAAGCTCAGATAATTCTGAAAAACCGATTTACTTTTGACTTGACATTTTACGATGCATTTTAAGAAACTATTGAGGCAATTGAACATGTACTCGTATCTATACCAGATTCTTACTAGTTTCTCTCATTCTGTGTTTGACCCTTGTTTTATGCTTAAATTACTTGTCTGTTAAGGGAATCCCTGTGAGGATTTTGAGTGCAAACTTTTTAATGTGGTCAGCATTTTTATTTTTCGGTATCTTAGTTTATTTTTTATTTTATTATGAGTGAGCCCCGATTTTTACCAGGTTATATTTTTTATGATTAACAATTGCAGATGCGCTAAGCACAAACAACCTTACCCTTGCTATTCGTTGGAGAGTTTTCAAGTTATTTAATTGTCACAATCTTGAATACTTATTTTATTTTTGAATCACCTCCACCTTTATTCGCTTCTGGAGCTTAATTTACGCAAGTAAAAAAGGATTCATCATAGGAAAAAAGTTTGCTTATTATCTTATTTAATGACTTTTTCGCGCCATAACGAGGCTAGCATCGGCCATTTTGCCGTAATAAAACGTCAAAAAACATTTCGTATACAACTTATACGAAACTCTTCCGTGTATATATGCATGAGGAACGTACGTATATCATGTATTATGAATGTATTTTTATTTTATTGTCTGATGTTTCAATTACTGTTAATAAGCGTTATTTCAAAGGATATATGATGCATATCTCAGTTATTATTCCTCGTGTATTAAAATAAAAAAAAAATCTGCTCGGGAAAATGTCTGTTCTATGCTGACAACAGTGATTATCGTATATGCCACCAGTCTCATCCACCACCGTCCGTCACCATCTTCGAGTCTATACCTACTAACATTAATATAATAAAGAAGGTAGGATTATATTTTTTGCTATCTAGTTTTTTTTTGTACTGGATAAATTCAAACCTCATTACTGTGAAAGAAAGAAATACATTTATATGTCACAATGCTTACACTAACGCTTATTTGAAGATATTATTTGAGATTTGGTGGTCACTCAGGGTTCTGCTCAGCATAAGGTCATAGCTAATAGCACAGTTTATCCTCTTATGGCGTTGATTATGCTGACAAAACCTGTGTAAATGTTACCATGATAAGTACAGTATTTATTGGATTATAAAAATAAGAAAAAAAAATTAAAAATCCTTATAAAATATCCTTATAAAATATCAAACACTCTTGATTTGTAAAATATGTAAAAATTATATAAGCAGATAGAGGAGCTTGATGACGCAGTGGTGAGCTTGCTCGGTTCGCGACACGGATGTTAAGCAACTTTTGTAATGGCCGGTCATAGGATGGGTGACCAAAAAATTTATTATCTCGATCACCTCTGTGTTTCGGAAAGCACGTTAAGCCATTAGTCCCGGCTGCAACTGCAATCGTTAATTCCCACCAATCCGAACTGGGCTCGCGTGATTTCTATTCTATTCCATCGATAGGGTCATGAGCCCGATGACTGGGGACACTTATAGGCTGATAATAATGATGTATCAGCGAATATAAAGCACTTTATAAGAATTACTAAAAAGCAGTATTAAGTTCGTGTAGTTAAGCTAGTACAAACATATGTTTATGCTCTGTGGTTGAAACTGTCCAAGTCAAAACACAAAAGATAAAACAATAATATAAATAATAATAATAGCCAATACACACGTGACGTGACTAGATGACACGGTTGTCGATGCTACCGCAGTAAATTGGAAAAGTCTTATACGAGGTGATCCGTTTGGCTTCAGCTTTGATTCCCATGTCATTCGCTCATAGAACAAATTGAATTCTGTTTGTGCGTCCAATACGTTATTGGGTTTATTTCAAAGTTCCATTCGGCTTAGATTAGATGATAAATTCGGTAGGTTATTGTAAAAAATATGACGTCACAAATACATTTTCTTATCGTTATTATTATATTGAAGAACTCGATAGCAGAGTCATTAACGCGTTTGGTCTGCGATATTGAAACCAAATAACTATCGCACGGGCCAGTCATTAGATGAATGACCAAATATTTATTGTCTAGAGCTCCTGCGTCAGGCGGAAGAAACATTAAGCCTTTACTCCTGACTGCATCCATTAGCAGGTAGCAGAACTGCAGTTTTTAATACCCACAGTCCATGTGGTGGATTATGGGCTGTTCTCCATATTTATATCCATCTAGATGTTAATATGCTGACGATGATTGTAATTAATATCATTCGCATATTGATAAATTACAACTTTCTTATAGTCGCGGCTTGAATGGAGGATATATGATATTCCATCTTTTCGGTTATTGGAACCGATGTCCCGATTGGATCATGAATGTTATATTTAGTAATTTTTATCTGCATTTTGTAGATTCTAGGCAGTTCTACATTTATGAACTTTAATTTTGTGTAGGTAACACCATTCTTTACTCAATTTTACAACCTTTCATTTAACTTCCCTTGTTAGTATGTTAGAAGACTAATCTTGGAACTCAAATTTAACCCACTTCCCAATGTCTGATAGATTTGAAATTTTGCATAGTTTTGCAAGATGTTAATACAATATTATGGTGAAGTCTATTATGGTAATCATGAAGTCGGAAGATGGTCAAAGGAACTTAGGGGACGAAATGACGCAACTGCATTGCGTTTGGGTTCGCTAGATCCGTTTTTATGAGCACTTTTGTACTAAATGCTTTCCAGATCAAGGTCTGGTGTTGATGGATGAACTAATGAAATCGGCGACGTGCTACAAACGTTTCAAAACAATTAATTTTGTCTTGCATAAATTATTATTTACGCTTTAGTGCGCACAAACAAAAGATTGTTTAAAAAAAAGTTTTATTATTACATTTTTTACAACAAATATAATATGTCTAACTACAAGCATATGTGAGCAGATTAAATTTATATATATACTTATGGTTGGATGTTGTAATAAATAAATATGTATTTCTTTATTTTTTATAACGCATCTAAGATATATCTCACTTGATATTAGATAAAAACTTTTTCCGTAATTCTATGACTTCATCCAATTATAACGCAGAAATGGAAGAGATGGCAAAATAATTCATAGCAATTGCCTTGAAAGGTTTCATATGAAACCATAGCTACAGATTGCCTATTTGTTTCTTTATAATGTTTTCCTCACAATGAGTATTTATTGTGTCTGTGAAATTAGCATTCCATGTTGTTATATCCTATCTAATCTCTGATTCAGCTGACAGGCGCCTCGAGGGCATCAACAGGGAAATATTGTAGCCTAAACAAACTGATGTATACTCAGAGATTACGCATATTTTTTTTGTATTATTTTCCTAATAAAGCGTAATACTTGTGGTGATGTGTGAATAATCGAGTAAAAAGGATTGATAGCAAAAGAATTTACTAATAATCAATATATCGCTAGCTAACTTGTATACTTATTTACTGTATTGAAGAAAAAAGAAAACAATTTAGATCAAGCTACTCCGACTGTGATTTTAATGTAAAATTACACTTATTAAAAGAAAACCTTCAATTTTTAACCGACTTCCAAGTCGAAAAAGAAGTGGTTTTATGGTCGACGGCGATGTATTTTTTTATGTATGTTCACTGATATTTCGAAAAAATTAAAAAATCCTTTTTTAATCGACAGCTTAAGAGGTGATCCCATTTAAATTTTATCGGATTAAAATCAGTAGTTTTCCTTTTATATCAAAACAAAATAAGCTTTTCACCAAATATCCCCAAATATTTAGTTGATTTGGTAAGACATGGCCCTTTCAAGCCTAAAAATAAAAGATTGAGTATTTGGAATTCATTCAAAACACGAAAGGTGAATTTTCTATGTATGGATCTGGTAATAACATGGTTTTTGTAAATGACATTACTCCTATTAGACCTGGTGAGTTACTTGCTCGTTCTTCTTGTCAGCCAAAAGACGTCCTGAACGAGCGGTAGGGAAACAAAATGTTGGACGATTCAAAAGTACTTTTAAGAAGTCTATTTGAATAAAGATTATTTTACTTCGACTTGACTATGTTCAAGGAGTATGTATATTTTTTATGAAAAAAGGTTTGTTAATCGATCTCTTCTTGAATTATGAACCAATATCTATCAATAAAGCTAAATTCTCCTGCGTAAATTATAGCCCATGTCCAACGGGTATTAAGTAGCTTCCCATAGATGAAAGTCTTTTATAAATCGGTCTAATACTAGTATTTTCGGAGTCTATCCAATGCAAACAAATCTTTCCTCATTATAATATAAGTACAGAATTAACGGAAAAAATATGCCGAGCAAATAAACAAAATCTTCTTTTCTTATTTATATAGATATTTTATATTTTTAGTGTTACCTATTTTTTTTTTAAATCACTAAAAAGCATGAAATAAAAACTATTTTTAAAATATAACCGACTATAAACTTAAAAAAGAGTGATTAATATACTTGTCTCAAAAGATACTTATTCAAGAAAATGCTTTAGAAGTCGGGTTCCTATTATTTGATTTATA